CCAATTCAGTTTGTCTTCCTACCTAAGCTAATTTACAAGAAGCACCCTTTATACTCATGATACCTAATTTAGCCACATCAGGGAAGTTCAGTCGAAATTGTAGTAAACAGAATTTGAAAGTAAATCATGATAACATGATAATAGTGCACATTTATGATTAAAAAACATGCAAAATCTGTTTTGACTACCAATGATTATTTTATAAGTATTTAATTTCTTAATTCTGTAAAAGAATTTCCATATTAGAATGCGCTTAATAAATAATTCTGAAAATNCGTACAACGCCGCGTTCCAAACATACACCTTTAACAACCTTTTTCGAATTTCTAAATTAACCGTTCGCGAGCATAGAAGTGACTTCGTTTTATTAAAGGTGACACGACCCTGCGATATCCTCTGGTTTATATCCTTACTACTCCTTCCGTCCTGACTTATCTGATTTCCTAGATACCTAAAATCAGCCACTTCTAATTTTTCGTCTCCCATCTTGATATTCGCTCTTTCCCTACTTTTTCTTCCCTTGCATACCAGTATTTTTTTTTAACTATGAACCGCTAGTATCAACTTCCTTAAAACATTCTGATTGGACTATTTTTAAACGCCAATTTCGCTGTATACTCTGGAGACTTCAATGACGGGTCAGAACAGTAACCTAAAATTAAAACTCATTAATTTTTTAAATTATTACCGGAAAATGTTTCTGTTATTGAATTACTCAATTAATAAAGCCTTATCTGTAAAAAGTGCAGTTATACAGAGCGTTAAAAATGTTACCGATTCTCGAAAACGATAAAGCACAAATATATATTCAGTTGGCCATACAGACTACACCAAGAAAGTACAACATAAATAAACAAATCAGAATAATGGTTGTAAATAGTACGAGAAATATTAAAAGCTTTTTATAGTTTTAATCGTAACGGATAATTAAAATTATTTATAATGTATTAATATTAATAAAAAAGTTAAACTAACAACCGCTATTATTAATTTTCCTAAAACTTTCTGGTTGCTTTAGGTTTAAACGCCTATTCCGCTGTATACCTTGGAGACTTCAACGATAGATCAGAACAGTAACTTCAAAATTCAAACTCATCCAGTTTATACATTATTATCGAGAAATGTTTTTCTTATTGAAATAATCATTTAATAAAGACCTAATTATCTGAAAAATGGTGCAATTATACAGGGCGTTACAAATTTTAATGATTCTGGAAAACACTACAGCAGAAATTCATGTTTGGTTCGTCATAGAGATTACACATTCAAGTAAGAATAAATAAAAAAGTAATAAATACCTACTAAAAATAATTTACTAAACAAGACTATGTAATTTGAGAAGTATTCAAAAACTTCAGCGTAAAATAAACAATTGAAATTTGTTCACTAGGTATGTTAAGAGAAGTGTAAGTTCTATTCATGATTACTTTTGTAATTGTAATGATAAATATTAACAAAAGTAGTATAACTAACAACTGCTATTATTAACTTTCCTAAATCTTTCTAGTCTGATTTTTAAACGCTTATTCCACTGTGTACTCTAGAGACTTCAATGGTGAGTCAGAACAGTTCTCAATTGGAGTATACTTCGTTTAGTTTCTCTAGCGATGTGACCTTTAGTTTGAACGGCGCAAACTAGAAAAGAACAGCACTAGGCCAGAAAAGGAAGGAGACAACTCTCGGCCAAACTCATAACCGGTGAGGAGCGTACAATCCGTACTGCACGGAAAAATTCACCATTTTATCCACTAAAATTGCATTGCTCAAATGTGCTGTTATTGGTACCAATTACTACTGAAAATATCAACGAGATGTTTATTTATATTCGAAGACACACTAAAGGCTTTAACGCATGTTTTCGACTCGCACTACTATTCATAATTGAACAAAACTTTTGGCAGGTACTGTATGAAAAAATATGTTTAATGAACAAGAATCGAGAGTATAATGAGCTTTTTTCTCCCTACCTACGATTTTGCCAGTGCGCATCAAAGACATTGGAAGGGACACATCGCTAGAGAAAGTAAATGAAGTATACCTTCCTTAAAGCTTCCGTCTTACAGCATACATTTTTTAGTAAAACTGTGTGATACGCCACTGAATGAAAAGATCGTTTTCTTTTTTTCAGTTTATTTAAAAAGCAACTATTACAGCAGCGTTCGTTGATTCATAAAAGTAAATAATCGTGCAAACGTTTTGTTAAAAAAAAACAGTAATTGCTAATAATTATAGTGAGTTCATCTCTAATTCACGTACTACTTCTGACATAGGATGAGTCTTACAATTTTCATTCATCATAATCGATGGGATATTCCAATAATGTGTTGACGGTATACATCCATAAATATACACATATAAATCGTACATCCGGGGAACACAACTTCCTATGATTTAATTTCACGATTACAATACCGATTTTACTTACGTATGCAAGTAAACGTTAGTTATTAACCACGACATTTTACTCGCGTGAGATCATAAATTATGTCTTATATTTATTGTACGTGAAACCACAGTAATATATCATTTACACATATAAATACGTACACATATATCTGTAAATTAATTTAGATATTTTACAAAACTTGATTTTTCTTTTAAGAACGCCAAACAGCAATAATTAATTACAATTTAATGAGAACGGATTGAGTTCTTGATCAGTAATTTATCTATTTTGTCTCATCAGCACGCCATAGGCATTCACAAAAATATGGTCTACAAATCTTAAAAATAAACCTAGTATTGATTACAAAAATGACATAAAGATTGCCACATTGATGATGTGCAGGTTGTAATGCTGGGTTGCATTTAAATATTGATCGCTGTCAAAATACCTCATGATCATTCTAAGGTCGTCATTCATAAAACTTACGAAAGTTAGTAGATTAAGTAGCAATCGTTAAACAGCGGCATCAATAATAATCGGGCAATTCGAATTGTGATTGACCAGCCACGAGAAGCGAGTAAGACAAGGTGGTGAGGCGGTTTACCGTATTTGCGCTTATTTTTGGTTATTCGTTTGATAACCATTTTTAAATACTGTTTTAAAATGTTATTAAAGCAATTAAATTTCCAAATAAATACAAAACCGCTTTTTCGGTTATTTGGTGGAAGCGCCAGACATGTTCG